TAAAAACGAGCGCGACGTTGAGAGCGTTTCCGGTGACCTTGCCTAGGCCATTTGTCTTCGCTCGATCGCGCCGGAACTTTCGATCAAATCGTAGGATTTCGAGAGGCTTTGAGAGATAGCTCTATTCACAGGAAATCGAAATCAGTTTTTCTAACAACAGTGTTTCCTTCTCGTTCAAAGAGATGGAGATCGCTCGTTGAAATAATTTTTATGTTAAAAGTGGTATACGCAAATGGACAATTTATAATGATTAATAGAATTGAAAAGAAATACGTAGGGATATAAATAGGTTTTACGTGAAAATCGTTTCATCAGCACGCGTTATAAATATGAAATGGAAATTTAAAATCACGAAATTAAAAAGAAGCTTAAATAATTTATAAACCGTGAATGTAATACGCATGGAAAGCACGATATAGATTTTATCCAAAAATGATTTGTTAGCGTATATCATGTCCGAATTTCGCGAGCATACGAACATACGAAACGAATTACAATAATAATTTTATCGCGTGAAATTTTCTGAAAAAAATTACGAGATCTCGACTCTCGACTCTATCCTTTTACATATATATATAAAATTAATTCTTCTCGTTTCTTTTCAACTATACAAACATTTCTATATTTTTCCAAAATAATTATTGAAGAATTTCTCGTCCCTCTTTCATTTCCATTTCCATTTCCTCCAAAATTATTCTTCCACTTGTTTTCAAAATATTCAGGATGACATTTAATTAATATAAAATTATATAACTTTGTGCAAAAATACACACAATTTTTTTTCCTCCCGGCAGCCAAAAATCACAAAAATTATCGCTCGAGAAAAATCTACCCCATCGTACTGACCCATTCCCCTTTCACCCAATTTTCACGTCAGGCTTATAACTCGAACGTCCCACAAAGAGACCAAGTACCCCCGAACAAAAAAAGGAAAAAAAAAAAAGAAGAGAACTCGAAACCCAGCCTGCCTGGAGCATCACCTGACGGGGTACTATACCGGTGACAAGGAATTAGATCCGTTTGACAATCGCGGAATGACAACTGGGATGACACGTGGGGCACGCGTTTGATCGCGAAAAAGGGGACGAGGCGATGGCGGATGGTGGATAGGGTGAGATACTGGGCGAGTTGATCGTCGAAGCACGGCCTTTTGTGCTTGCTCCTAAGGTCGACTGACTCCATTGCTAAAGGACAGCCGGAGGAGGAGCCGTCGAAAAGTTTCTACCCTCTTTTTCACCCTTCTCGTTTTTCGATGCTCTTTGTGCCGGTTTAATTATCGTGCACATCCTTTGAACAGAGAGGAAACAGATAAGGGGATGTTTATGGAAGGTTTTACAAATTTGTAAAGACGTTGAACTTCCCCCTCCCCCCTCCCCTCCCCTTTTCTTTTTTTTATACGTACTTGTTAAGAGTAGATTGTGCAGATATTTATGCATGGGAAATTTGAATGCACAGAAATCTGTAATTTTATCTAAACTAAATCGAAACGACAGATATTCTAACTCGCCTTATCGATAACACCTTCTCGAGTAATTTTTCTTTTTTGAAAATGAGTTCTTTTTTGAGAATATTTCATTAAATTTTATTGAATCGTTCTTTGGATCGAAACAAACATTCCGTTTATTCTATGGTCCGCAAACTTTTTACGTTTAAAAAGTAACAAAATGAATTCTGCCTGGACACAAGAGCCGTAATAAAAAAAGGGAAGATACGAAAGGTGCAACGTTTGCTGTTTAAGTAGCTTTAAACAAAACTACGAGTTCTCCACGAAGCTTGAAAGAAGAAGAAAAAAAATGATCGCTCCGCGACTGGTCGTTACAAAACGCGAGTACTTTTCCCTCTTTATTACACGGTTTTAACAATCATAAAAAATACACGGTAATTCCACCCCAAATAGCACGTCTCCTCTTAGATCGACGTGTCTCGTTCGATCGACAGATTAGGAGGTCGTAATTTTCGAAATATCGTTGGACACGGTTAAAGTTTACAACCACCGACATCATTATTCTTCCAGCCTGGCTCCCTTTCTTCTCAACGTGGAATCGTTATCGGCAACTTCTTCAACCCTTGTTGTCCGTCGTCACGTCGTCTCGCTCCGGATAGTGGAGGGGGAGAAACAAAAGAACGGGGAAGGGGAGAAAAAAGGAGAGGGACAAGGAGGAGGAGGAGGAGGAGGAACTTTATTATCGCGGTTAACTCGGGGTAAATTCGTTTATTTGGCGCAGATAACGCTGCCAGCGCGAAAAGTTTCGACATTAAGGATGCTGATAGCTATGCGATGTTTTTGACGAGGAAAACTCCTCGTAGGATTGTGACCACCCTGCCAACTTTCTATTGATATTTAGGTTAACTCGTGTTGCTTTGTTTTATCCATATAACCACGTAGATTTTTATGCGAATAAGAACTCGAGAATACTTTTATGATGAAATATATAAAATAAAAAAAGAAGAAAATCAACGAAGAATGGCAAGATAGAAGAGTGAGAAATGCTGAAAGTTTCAAAGATCTTTCAACGTTTTGAAAAATTGGCATCGTTTGTAATTAAAAAGAAATTGTGGAATAATTTGAAGAATAAGAAACACTGGAAAAATTCAACGTGGGTTCTTAACAAATTTTCAGAAAAAGATTCAATCAGCAACAGAAGTAAACGGATAAAACTGAAAGCAATCGAGATTCGATCAAACCCTCCAATGGGATCTGCTGCTCACCTCCGAGTTCCGATCAAACCGACCTTAATTAACCAGAGGGTGGCCGCGATTTTTGGGAAATTTACAACAACCACGATGTTACGCTGGCAATTACTCGGCCATTTTCCACGTTCACAGGCCAACTAACTCGATTGATCCCAAAAAAGGGGGAAGGAGACCGTGGATTCGTTTTCGTTTGTTCCATGCCCATTTTCTTCCCTCCCTTCCGGTCTCTTAATTCATTCGCCGTCTGCAGGATTTTCGCGTCGAAACTCGGATAATTCTATTAACGACGGCCAAGAATGCGAAACAATTTAGCGAAACGCTCGCCAGACGTCCTTGGAGCCGAAATGAGGGTGAGGGGAAAATACATTTTTCCTTTTAATAATACCGACTAATTGCCGCTCGGTAACCGGAAGCCCGCGGCATTTTCCCCGCATATCTCGAGATTCGCAGTTACTCGCAGTTCCGGTTATTTTATTCGCGAATTCCAAACGAGTTTCGACTCTCCCGCTCCCATTTTAGGATGTATTTAGGAACTTCACTTGCCCTTGTTATTCGTTATCTCGTTCCTTTATATCGATTATCAGCGAATATTTTTTCAGATCGTGTGAATACATTCAGGGAACCAATAAGTTTTTTTTTTTTGAAAAAGAGGGAAAAGAAAAATTGTGTCAAAGTGTGAAGCATTGAATTTTAGAAAAAAGAAAGTCCGTGGGAATATCGATCCAAAGCAGTGATCCAAAAAATTTGTGAACAAACTATTACTATTAATAAAGTCGTTGTAATCGATGGATTTGATGTGTAGATCGATTAAATACCGTCATGTGCGTAATAAGGTCCCAAAAGTCAATACAAACGTCGAGTCGATACATGATCTACGTACATATCTATATCTCGCAACTTGTCAATTAATATTATTGGTCGGTAAATAATTATATGCAAAATGGTCTCGATATTAATCGTCGTGCACGAATTCTCGATTGCAATAGATACGACGTGATATCGTAGATAACGATCCAGAGACGATCCAGAATTATTCGATAATTTCCTAACAGGCGAATTCTAAGCGCAATTAGATAGATTGAAAACTGAGAGAATCGAAGTGCTTTATACGCACCATTTCAAATTTCGTATTTACGATACGAGTTCCAATTATGATTCGTGGGAATAATCGTCGATGCGACGACTATTATTTATCCACGCCGCTTCCATAATTCGCCTCGTGAATGAACCTTGACGCGTCGATTGATTTATAGGTCACGATAGGTGCTATTGCTATTCCCGTCGATCGAATCCAATTCGCCGAATTGAAATTTCTTCCAGTTGAAAAGAATCGATCGATTAAAATTGGATGAAAGTATTTTCTGTCTTATTATATATACGATTTTAGTGGATTTGTTCGATCTTTTTCGGGTTTATAACGTATTAAAGAAAATTGATTGATTAATAAATTTATCCATCCAATATCTCGTGTATTTTGATCGATCGTGTCCATATTTGCCAATTTAAATTTCCCGTCATCAAAATCATGAAAAGTCACGTATTAAGTTTATTTGTTACAAAGTTTGCCGAGTAATAAAATATATTTACACATTCAGAGCGAAAAATGACGGCGAAATATTAAATTGCATGTATAAATCGAAATCGAATTCATCTCGTATGGATCGTGTGAAAAACGTATTATGATTTCTTCTAAAGTTTTGATACAATAACATTTTAATTCTTCGATCTTTTAATCTTAGTTCTGGTGAACATTAACATTTCGCATTTTACGTTTTGTGCCGCGCGACGAAATTTCGATGCGTGGCACACAGCTCGAGGAAAAAATCCAATTGGCCCCTGGACGATGAATGGGAGAATAAAAAAGAGGAGAAATAGAAAAGAGGAAGGCGTGTTCGTGCGTGCATATTCGGGTGACAAGTAACGTTACATTCACCGTGGGAAAATGTTCGACAATGGCACGCCAGAGACGCGTAAATCCGTCCGTTTTCTCGTGACGAAGAAAATACACGAATATATTACAAACATACACGAATTATTACTAAGAAAAATCGCATATCCTCGATTCTCTCCTCGATCTGTTTCGATAAACCGTGATTTCAAATCGTAAGTAATCGTTCGAAATATAATAATCCTGCTACTCCAATGTTATCCAATCTTTTATTTCACGTAATTTTAAAATCCTAGGAATAATTCGTGACACGGTTCAAACTATCAAATTAAATCTCGCTTCAAACTCGTCCATTAAAATTTCGAAACGACCCGAAATCTAACAAACCCTCCCCCTTTTCTTCGCTTTTTCCAGAATCCATTTCCCGCAAAATTCGAAGAAGAGAGCCGCCACCACCACGTGACCAATTTCTTTTCCTCGAGAAGGAGAGGAGGGAGGCCTTGCCAATAAGGAAAATGGCACGGAGGCGTCATCGTGGCCCGACTGCTCCGCTCCACACATGCATCGGATACAAAGGGAGCCCGGAATAGAACCGTGTTATGTGCTCGCTACGAGCGAGGAGGAAGCTGTCCTGCGGCCAGCTTGGAAAGATAAGAAAAATGGGCGGCCAGCCCCTGCTCGTAACCGCAGAAGTTGTAATTATACAGTGATATTACTACCGAGGAATAAGGCCCATAAGCGTGTGTACACGCGGTGGAAGAGTCGTTCTCGACCGTCATTTCACCCCTCTCCTCCCGAATCTGGATGAAGATACGTGGACAAGAGATAACACGGAGAAGGAGGAATTTATCGTTGGGGTCCTCGGTTGGAGCCGGTTAAAGGGTGAGTCCTCCTCGTGGCATCTCAATTAACGAGGAATTCACGTTGTTGTCCCGCCAGTCGATGCGTGCATGTTGTCCCTACCGGCTACCGGACTCCTCCCTTCTCGCTCTTTTTCAGAGTGGCGGCCACCGAAAATATAACCGGTCGATTGGTTGGCGCGATAGAGGAGAGCCGCCTCTGGAAATCGTGTGTAGAAAGATTCTCTTTTTTTTTCTTTCTGCTCGAGATCGAGCTCGAGATATCCTCCTCGAGGAACCTCGCAAGAACTGGAAACGTGTTTTTTCGGTGTAATTGGGTGAGATTGAGGCAAGTTGTACAAGGATACGTAGAATCGTAAATTTCCTTATGGTGGCTCGTGATGATGGAAGTAGAATTAAAGCAAGTGATTAAGGGAACGCATCGCGATGATTGTTGGATTAGAAGAATAGTTTTGAGAGGATGGTTTCTTGGAATGGAGAAACTTACGAGTTTGCATTCGGATGATGCGACGAAAGAAAAGAATCCCTCCAAAATTTGGTTGATTCGACCTGTGGATTAGTAATATTCGATTCGCAGACGCAGGGGCGGCTTAATTCGAGCCCCGAAAATTTCCCCCTCTAATTCGATTAATTTAATTAACAACGGTTTAATTAACGCTACGCTGCCCACCGCCGCCGCACTGTTCCGCCATATCTATTCGCGCTACGATACGAAATAATAACGCGACATTTGTCCCGCTGCTTGAGCGCAGTTGCGCCGAGGATTCGAGGAGTCGTCGCGTCTGTAATTTGGTTAATTTAATCAACAACGTTCGGTTAATTGCCCGTGGCGGGTTTTTGTCTTTCGTCATCCCGCCGTCACGGGATGCAATTTGCAGGATCACGGATAAGGCGAGGTAAATATTGGAGGGGTGATCCGTGACTCGAAACAATCGTAATTGCTCGTCTCGTCGAGGAGAAGATAGGTCGGGGTTGTGTTAAACGAAAGCGCGATTACACTGAGTGGGTGAACCGGTTTTCTGGTTGAGCTCTCTTTCTCTCTCTCTCTCTCTCTCTCTTCTAAATCTGATTAAAGATACCGATGTTGGAGAGGAGGGGGGAAGGGGTATTTATTTGTTATCTAACCTCGACGAAAATGAATCTGTGTTCCGCGACCCGCACCTTTAATCGCGGCGCGATACGTGAAATTTCTTTCCTAACCGATTTAACCGGTACAAGATTGGAAGGAAGGATTTAGGAGAATTAAACTTCTTCCGAAATCTTATTTTAATCGGAGTTGCATTGGGGAGAGGAGAGGAGAGCAAACGAAAGTGCGGGTTTTGATTGTGAATAATATTCTTCTCGAAGAATATAATCTTAATTTTGTCAACAGGTTTGACTTGGCATGAATCTGAATCCGATCGATCCAAACGATTTGTAATTTAATCGTCGTTAAAAAAAAAGGAGGGGGATCTGAAGCTGATCCTTGCTTCATCCTCTCCCAATTTTCATTTCGATCCATCGCAAACGAATTCCCTGTATAAAAGCGAAGAGACACCGTGAAGAGGACAGGGATTCGTCGATTAATCCCGACGAACCGAACTTTAATAAAGCAAGCAATTCAACCGTACCAGCTGTATTACGTATTTACGTAACAATGGCGGCAGCAACAGGAGGAAGCTCTTCCTCGCGCTCCAGTTGACAAAGTCAAGTCCCTCCATCAGCGCCATTTCCGCCGGTTCGACGGTAATCTCGACGGCGCGAAGGGCTTCTTCGTAACAACGATTGTCATCCGGAACCCCTGTCGACCCCGTCTTTGTATGCGCCCTCTCCGCATCCTCTAATCGCCTTGTAAATGTCGGTCACGGATACCGATTCGGTCGCCAATTCTCGTTTGCCACGTGTAATGCAAACGTACGTTGCCTCGATAATATTCGCGTTACATTTTGGAATTAATGGATTCCGATAAAAAGAGGGGATAAAAAGGTGTTGTCGAATTTGGATGGATGGAAGATGGAAGTTTTAACCAGGAAGGTATTTTTTCATTTTCCTGTTTCCTTCTAAGAAAATATGGTATAAATTGTTTTTCGATAGAAATATATTTACGCGTATTATATTTTGAATATGACGGAATCGGTGGTGGTTTAAGATTTTATGCGAAAATATAATTAATCCCAGAATCGATGCATTACGAATTTATTATACGTATATACATATGGATTGTAAAATCTGGGTAACGAGGGGTAGAAAGTAAAACGATTCCCTTCGAAAGTCCAACGATTGAATTGATCTCGAGATTGAAAGAACCGATTGAAAACCAGCTGTAAAAATATTTACAAAAATCAACTCGATCAAAAGCGAACGATTTTTCTTTCATTTTTCACCTCCACGCTTTACGATTGCACGAACTTCTTTTAAAAATTTCTGTTACAGAATTCAATTTTTCTCTTTGCTGTTTATAAATTCATTCGTATTCTCCTCTCGACGAATAAACGATTCATATATACACACGTCTCTTCGTAACGGCGCTCTGTCTTCGTGCTCGCTCTCCGCATCCCTTGATCGCTTCATAAACGTCGGTCAAGAATACCGCGAATGACGATGACACGTAGTAGACGACGCGTATCCTGCCCTCCTCTTCTGCCGATCCACTCGACACTCGCCCCTTTCCCCTTATGATAAGTGGATCCCGACCTCGCCTCGCCCTCTCACGCCGCATATATCCGAGAACTATATTTTTCAGTGTCAAAAGTAAGACGATTTTTCCACCCCTGCACCGGGCTCCCTCTCGCTTTATGCGAGGGGAAGGGATGAAATCGTAGGATCCGACGCTTGCCTCAGCGACTTTTCTCAGAGTTCTTCGTGGCTGGAATCTGGAACCGATGGGACCATCCAGTCCACGGGGGGAGGGGGGGGGAGGGGGAAGGACGGAAGGGGGAATGTAGTTTGGGAATCGATAAAGTGTTTTTCGGAGTTTTGATGGGGAGGGGAGGGAAAAAAAGGAGGAAAGAAAGAGGAGAGGAGGGATATCATCGATATTGATATGGTAACCGAGGATACTTTCTTTTCTCTCTCTCTCTCTCTCTCTTCGCGTGTTATTTATTAGGTATTTAGGTGGATAGGAGATAGGTGTAGGCGAAGAGGGTGTGTTTTTTCCTTGGACGTAGGCAGTTTTACATGTGTAATGGAAATCATGTGATGGATAGGGATCTATTCTATTTGTCCGAGTGATATATATATATCATTGAAAAAGAGAGATCTGAGAAGAGGAATTGGAATACGATCAAAAGTTTGCCCGAGTTAAGATAAGGGGGTTGAAGGGAAGGGAGAATCTTTACCAGGGAAGAGAATTGATACGATCGAAGTTACTCTCTTATCTTGTCCGTTTCATCTATGTAAGAGTTACAGAAGAGTTATAGAAGGGGATGTGTAGCTACTAACTGTATGTATGATTTATATCGCTTAAATTAACCGCCTTGACTCCACGCATTTTGAAACCGCGGAATGGAAGATGTTAAACTTTCATCCCCCGGAGAAAACCGTGTTAACGAGCTTTCGAGTGCTTTCGAGAAATATGAAATCTCGTCCGCTCTAAAATTAACCCCCTTAATTCGACGAGGAGAGGAAAAAAAAGAAGATATCCATCCCCTCCCCCGAGATTGAAAATCTCTCATAGGGAGACTAAATTAACCCCCCTCCCCCTTTCAACTCGCGATCTCTAACGAATTTCTAACTTTTCCAGAGAGCTCCACGAAAATTGCGAGCGAAAATCTCGACATCGAGTCGAGAAATTCCTTCGTCCCTTCGCCATTTACGACCGCCGTTTTGTTTAGCGCGAGGGGATGAAAACGCGAGAAGGAAAACGAAAGGGAAGGGAAGTAAAAATGGAAGTGATAAAACTATCCGGGATGATTATCGAGGACCACTTCCCAAAAAGTGGCAAAGAACGGACGGGGCCGTGCCATGGTACGCTTGGTTGCCGCGGCATTTTTCATCGAGCGGACGGGAAATCGAAGGGGTGAGCGAGTGCCGTGTATGAAATTCGAGAATTCTAACCAGCGGTGGAGAAACTCGCTCGAAGGTGACGAAGTGACAGGGGTTAATGGACGATTAAGTCGAGGGTGGAGAGCTGGTTACAGAGGGGAGAGCCGAGTCGGAGAAATTCTCGATGATTGGACGATTTATGAAATAAAATCAATCGAAGGTTTCGAACATTCGATGATTGAAGATTATTAGAAGAAATATTATTTTTCTATCGAAGTTATTCTTTTAAAATCACTTTTTACTTTTTTTTTTTTTTTTTTTTACGAACGGTGAGAAATATTCTTCTACGTTCAGAAATTGATCTGTTCGTTCTACTCGCACATCGACTATGAAAATAGTAGAAGGGAAGTTAATGGAAAACTGGGAGCGATTCTTTCCAAAAATAGAGCAAGTTCGATAAATGAAATATTCTTTATTCGAGAGGAGAGACGAGAAATTCGTATGTTTTTCAAATAATCGTTGGAAAAGTAAGATAGAAAAAAGTATTTTTCCCGAAAATGGAAGAAACAGATAGAGAGATACGGGTACAGGATTGGGAAAGATCGGGAATTTCCAATTCGCATTTCCTTCTTGTTATCTGGAACAATGATGAGGAGGATAATCAAAAGCAGCGATACGTGCTTGAGATGTGGAAACGGCTCTCAAAGTTTATCACATATATACAAGAAGCACGTTTCCCTCGTGTGGCCTCGTTGCTGCGGATGTAACACAGTTATAACGTTGTACAAATGTTAATGGCGAGGATCAAACGAAAGTCCCTCCCCTAAGTCACGGACAGTGATCGTGGACAAAAGGACGATGCTGTTTAGCGAACAAGGGAGAAAGCATCCACGTGCCTATCATGGAAACCTCGATCCGCTTTCTCCTTACAGTGAATCATTTGCGCTTTGCCAATCCTAGCTGTTTCCTCGATCCTATCAAACCTTTCTTCCTTTTCTTCTTCTTTTTTTTTTTTTTTGTATTATACGCGTTAGAAGGCAATTGAATCGAAGATTATCG